AAGAGCTGTGACCCAGCAGTTATAGAAGGAAGGAGTAGATCCTGGTGCTATTTGCCATGTCTGCAGTTAAACATGCACATCTTGGATTAGCCTCCCCAGTCATCTATGGACTCAATGGGTGCATCTACACGTGATGCTTCACTGTGCATTAGCCTAAGTTAATATGCATTAAGGGTGCACATCTACACATGCACATTGAAAAAGGGCAAATTTAGACTATTCATGCCTAAATTTGATACTTGCAAATGCAGGTATCAAATTTAGGCGTGAATAGTTAAAGTACATTAACACACAACATTAAAGCAAGTTAACACTGTGTGTGTGTGGACTGACTTGGGGCTAACTTTAGTCTCAAGTCAGTCCACACACAGTGTTAATGTGCTTTAATGCCCACGTGTATACGCCTGTCTAAACTCAATGTGCGTTAAGCTAATGCACATTAAATTTAGGCGCACTTAAATGCATGTTTAGACATGCCCAATGATAACTTCCCTACAATCATCCTCATATCAAGGGATTGCCACTGCTGACATTTGCAAGGTTTTTTCCACAGCTCTGACCAAAAAACCCTATAAAATGAAAACTGAAACCTTCAAGTAACCCCAGGACTCCAGGGTCTGAGATTTTAAGGAACAAAATGCCAACGGTTGTGCAACTTAAAATAAAATGGTGAGATCAACTACATTGCCCTCCTCTGAACTTCTCAGTAGACTCTAACATGGTATATCCAGGGCCAGATTTTTTAAGATATTTAGGTGCCTCAAGTTATGACTTCTATGATTTGAGATCTTGGGAAACAAAGATCAGAATCATCTGTGTTCACAAACCTGAATCAGAATATGTTTGTTAAACCCATAAACAGAAGAACTGAAACTTGCAGTAAAGGCTAGGAAACCCTACCCTAACACTGGGAGGATCAGAACAGGAAGAACTTGAAAGTTGTAAAATTGAAAGTTGCTATAGGAACCCAGAGGGGTTTTGTGCTTCAGAAATTTGTGGTAACTACTCATATTTATATGTCTTCCCACTTAAATAACGCCACATATGCCGCATGTCTGAAGCTGGTATGCATTGCCATGCAGTGCGGCAAGGGGGCCAAGTCCCCCATGAGAGGGATGAACCCCACACCAAGTGGCCTCAGCCCACAGGGGAAACCAACCCGGGAAGGGCTGGTGACAGGCAGAACTTACCTGCAGGTGCTGGAGCTGAAGGAATAGAGCGCTGTGCGGCACAGCTGCACCACTTTAAAAGTACATGCACCCTGCGCGTAGAAAGACATGCAGGGAGGGATGTACAATAGGTGCACCTGGAAAATCAGATGCCCCAGGCAGTGGAGTTGGATGGAGGCGGCTGGGAGAGCTCCCTAACACTGGCATGACAGAGAACTTAAGCTGCTGAGCTGGACAAGGTCAGCAGGGAGAGGTCTCTGGCTCTGGTGAGTTCAGGAACATGGTGAGTCCGACACAGGAGCCAATGACAGATTAACAGTCACTTAAATGACAGTAAATTATCTGCCTTTTAGACAATGGGAAAGCAAAGTATAAAAATGGATGTGTGAGCTCTAGATCTTTCTGAGCTGCTGTTCCTAATTTTCTTGCCCATGAGAGATTACTGGTCCTCTCCCTCCCCTTGCTTCCTAAATGTTATCTTCCACAACTGAAAACAGAATCAGCCATGATTTATGGGAGGTTATTTTTTTCCTACAAGAAAAACAGAAATTTTGTCACAAGAGCTGCCATGAATAAAAATATTAAATTATTTAAAATGTCTAGGCCACAGTTTCTCACCCTAAATCCTGCCCTCAGCATGCTTGTGCAATAAAGCAGACAAAAACCAGAGAAATAAAATATAACTAGTGAAAAGAGGCTACAACTGATTGAATATATGAGCATGGTGCTTAGTACTTCTAAAGATGAAGTATCTGTTATTTCAAAATATATTCTGTCCTTTTTCCCCTAGCAGTCAGTGGGAGTACTGCCTTGACTTCATTGGGACAGACCTGTAGGTTTTCAACGAGGTGGTTCTTAGCGTTAATATAGAGATTTACTTAGAAAACAATGTGCAAGAAAACCTTATCTTGCAGATTTCTTCCCTCCTTACAAATAGTTTGTTAGTTTTCCAACATATCAGCACTTAGTTGGGTCATAACTTCATCTAGCTGATACTTTGCAAAATTAGAAGAATATTAAAAAAAGAACTGCTAGCAAAGACATTATATGTTGTGAAGGAACTGCAATATGCAATATGTGTTCATTTAATAGGGTATAGTGTAAATGTTAGTGTTTCTGTGAATTTTTAGGGTAAACATCATTTGTAAGTAGGATTTTAGTGGTGTATAGACCTTCTGCAGAAGGCTGAATTTCACCCTTATAGTTCTTGTATTTTCCTGTGCTATGGGGATAGGGCTGAAATGAAAAATTCTGAATCTGAACACCTCTGAACCTTGGACAAATTAATATCCAGATCCAAATTGTGTCTGCATGGTGACTACAGAAAGGTACATTATCACGTCTTGGTAATTATTGCAATGTAAAATTCCCAGGGGAAACAAGGTTTGTCACTTTTTATCTTCTAGCTAGTTAATGTAACTCTCAGGAAGTGGCATGTATAGTTGATCTTGGGTAGCTATAGTGAAATAAAAGCTACTGCACCTTTTCTCTATTAGGAATTTACACTGAGACAGTAATAGCAAATTGGCTGTCTTGATGTAAAAATGTTTTGGCTTTTTTTAGCAAAGACGCATGCAGTTCAAGATATGCAGTTGTTTCAGCAGGGAGGTGATAGGTTATGTGTGTGTACATGATGCAATGCTGTGTTGTGGCCTTTGAAGGATTAATACACAACTGAAACTTACTTCACATTTATTTTAATTGTGCAGGAAGTCATGACACGATGAGTTACTGCTTGGATAAAGTTTCACCTGTAAGTGAAAATGAATCAAAACTGCTGAAGTTTGTAGATAAATGTGCTCCCTGCATTGTACGCCCTATTATTATGAAGTGGTCCACAACACAGGTAAGCAATTTGCTAATATCCTCAGATTTGAATTAGTCACTTTGTCTGTAGTTTGCTACACAACACTGAACATACCCATCCACTTCATGACCCCTAGTAGGATAGATGTACAGCATTTTTTAACAAATTACAAATGTGCGCCATGGATCATGGGTGGCTATGACATTCTCAGGCCATGGGCCAGAGACAGGAAGTGGAAGGTGGGGGAGGGAGGAGGAGTCCAGAGGCCTTGGGTACCGTGTGGGGGAGGCAGTGACTACCACAGCAGGGGAGCAGGCAATGAAGAGAGGTGGTGATGGTCAGGGGAAGTGGTGCCCAGTTTTGTGGGGAGAAGCATGGGACGTTGAGGAGGTAAAGATGGTAGGAGCTTGCAGTTGCTAGTTGGACAGCCCTGCTGTACATAAAGAAATAAGACAAACATGCTGTCCATGTCAAATTTATGTTTGTGAGGGATATTTTTGCTGGATGTGACATCCCTTTTAGGGGTAGGGAATTCATAAGCAAACCTAATAGTTAAAGGGTGACTATTAACTAAAAACATATGTCCTTTAAAGTAACTATTGTTAATACCAGTAACGCCTAGCATTATTTTACTTTAGAGTGAGACGATATTAATTACTCAACTGTGCACATTGTTGATATGATAGCACTTTGCCATTGTTACTCTTGCAAGTGTGTAGGAGAGCTTCATCTGTGGATTAATGGTCCTCAAAGTGGAAACTAGAACCCTGAATAAAAGTTATGGGCTCCTCGTATGGTATATGGGGAAGGTTTGGCTACATCTGTGCCATCCCAGCACAGCCCTATGGAACCAAGCCTACTCTACCAAACTAGAAGTAGTGTAGTTGGATTAGTGTTGTGCCCAGTGTGCACCAATAAGTCTCTTGTAATCCTTAAAACATGAAACCTAAGACTGGGTAATTTCACATCCTTCTTTAGTTCACATCTTCTTCTTAATTTCCTATAGTCAATAAAATAATATGTGCAAATATTTAGGACCTATTTGTTGTATTTTAAAATTCAGGTACAAAATCTGACAGAACAACTGAATGCTGGGATTAGATATTTGGATTTGAGGATTGCACATAAATCTCATGACCCTTCTATGGATTTGTACTTTGTACACATGATATACACCAGCGTGTCTGTAGAGGTACTGTTCTTCACTCTGGAATGTCTATGAAGTGGTACTTTTAAAAAAAAATTCTTTTATAAGAACAAGCTGGTTTTCTGAATAAGAGCAACCTTGATCTGGGAACACTGACCATGTCAGACCAAGTGGGTACATCTACATGTGCAATTAGGGAGAAGAAATAAACTCCGGTGTGTTTATTTCTTCTAGGCACAGTGTTTATATGTGCGTCCAGGACTGCAGCATGTTGAGCGGGGTGGAGCAGCCCCAGGCTAGTAGGGAGCCCAGGAGTCAGCTCTGGGTGGCGACCTTGAGCAGCAGAGGGGCTGGCTGAGGCACAAGGGTGCTACAGTGCAGGGCTAGCTGGCAGGCACTCCTTGCACTGCAGCACCCTCATGCCCCAGCCAGCCCCACTCACCTTTTACATGGGCATTGTGGCAGTGTAAATTATTCCACCATAGGAAAGTACTTGTCTTGGACAGTACTATCCTATGGCAGAGTTAATTAATTTTCTGCACCCTAATATGGATGCATATGTAGACAGTGACACTTTACTGAGGAGCCAATTAGTCAACTCCACAGTAAAGTGCATGTACTGTATAGATGCACCCAGTTAGTCTTTGTTTCAATTTTTTGGGGTTTCAAATTAAGTAATGAAGTATTTTGTCAGTTTGATTGTTGGACCTGAAATAAATGTTGACAGTTGCAAATGAGGTTTAACCTCCATGAAGCCCCAAAGTAATTTTTTGACTGTGAACTGGAATTATTTTGTTCGGTTCTCTGTGAACACATACGTGATGTTTGCAGGTTGTGTTTGTGATCTGATATCTTCCCATTGGCCACTGAGATGTTGACACAGATATCAAGGGACCTCTTTGAGAAAGGAAGTGATATAAAAAGTGTTGTTGTTTAAAAGGCAACAACAGTTTTTAAAGGAAGACATGTTTATTGGAAGACAGTGACTCAGTCCTTTGAATCTTAAAATATCTCCTGTTTATTGGCACATTCCTAGCAACTGGCACACACGGGCCTGGTTAGCCTGTGAGTTTCCTATAACCACAGTGTGCACATGTGCAACTAGTGGGTCCTGACCTGATCAGAGCAAAACCATGGGAGCCAGGAGTTCTGGTTTCTATCTCTGACCTAGTGACTGATCTTCATTCTTTCTTGCACTCATAATGCTTGTTAAGATCATCAGATGAAAAGCACTATAAAAATGCAACACCACAAGTTATGCTGGGTCACATTCACAGCTTCTTTGAAAAGCGAATTCTCCTAAGGGTGGGTTTCCAGCCACTATAAAACTTCCAAGAAAGATTGCTCTTCCTGGAACTTTCTGATGAGTTAAACTGATTCTTGCCATTTGAGGGTCTGGCCTCTCAAATTAAGATTTTATTTAACGTTCTCTTAGCATCAGACAGGCTTTTCTAAATTGTTGTGACTTTACTTTTGTAGGATGTTCTGTGGGAAATTTCAAAGTGGTTGCAGAGCCATCCTTGGGAGGTTGTTATCTTAGCCTGCAGGAATTTTGATGGACTGAGCAGGATCCATCATTGTCATCTTGTCTCCTGTATAAAACGGATTTTCCATTGTAAGCTGTGTCCCAGAGACGTAAGTGCAGGTGACATTTTTTTGGAATATATAATACTTCATAGCATTTTTTCTGTTTAGAATGTCATCTTGCTTTAAGTTACCCATTATTTTCTCTAAGCAAAAACAAACATGCCCTGTTATAACAGCAACATAAAAAAGAATAAAAAATTTAGAGAATCATCAAATAGGTGGTGTCACAAGGTGGTTTGGCCCTTTTAGAGCAGTGGTTCTCAATGGTTTTATACCATGACCCATTTGTAAACATTGATGGCCAGTCCTGACTCTGTGCCCCTCACTCCCGACCCACTGCCCCCTGCCCCCCAGTGTGTTTCAGGGGGGCCCCAAGCAACCCCTGGCACGCTGGAGCTCTGCCAGCCTACAAGGGAAAAGCCCCAGTTTTCCACATTTTTCTCCTTTAAAGGAGAATCCATGTTTAAAGTTTGATACATTTTTAAAGTTTGTTTGCAACCCTTTTATATATTCTTGCAACCCACTTTTGGGTTGTGACCCACAGGTTGAGAAATGCTGCTTTAGAGGGTTTCACCTGTCCATTGCCATTCAGTTCTAGGAGATATTTTGAGGTTGGGTTGGTGCTTGCATCAAACGTTTAGGCAGCAGTGACATGGTTTCCTATCTGAATAAGCCTGCTTAATTAGTAAGAGGAAGACAAGGTACTTGGTAGGATGAGATGGTCTCTTAAGAGAAGTCCAAAGTGGCTTAGTAGAGCTTTTCTAGTCAGAGATGGGGATGCAAAGTAAAATGGGTTTTTCAGTAGGAACTGAGGCAGCCCTACTGAAGTAGTAGTGTTGTGTAGAGGCCATTCACCTGGGCAGTAGCAGATGTAGGCTCCTAAGCAGAGGAGGGAATTGAATCTCTCCCCCTCATGCAGAGGAAGAAATTAAACCTGTGTCTCCTGTATCTTTTGTGAGTGCCCTAACACTTGAACTACTGGGTAAAAGGATAAAAAACATTGCTTCATTCTCTAGTGATGCTTTTTGATGAAAGGGCTGGCCTACACCCCTAACTCCTGAGGAAGGTTCAGGGATCAGCACAGTCCTGCAGCCCAAAGTATTTTATAGTGGATAGCATATGCCATCAGCTTGCTGTGGATATCGGTACCATTTTAAGAAAGCCTTGAGGCTGAACGCTGGGTTGTGAATTCTGCTAAACAACAAGTTACAAGAGTTCTTTTGTAGACCTCGCTTCTAGGGACTCTAGATGCACACAGGGATGGATGGCAGCTGATTGGAGGCTTTGATATCTACAATTTGGATTTAGGCATGACACTTTGGACATATAGGCTGCTTGTACATGCCACAGGGGTTTAATTGGGTTTAATTCTCCCTAAATTGAAATGGTGGGCTTTTTAAAAACACCGCTTCAATTTAGGGAGAATTAAACCAAACTAAAGCCCCATGGCATGTACATGAGGGTCGGGGCCCAATCCTTACTGGCCTCTTCGGTGGCAGAGGGTGAGCTACCGGCAGGCCAAGCAGTCTCTGAGCTGCTGGGGGGCCCCCCAGGCGGCACCCGCCCTCTGGCACCCAGCCTGGGTGGTCCTGGGGGGGGTGCCGCAGCCACAGAGGGAAGCACCCCCCCCTCCCAACATGCTGCACAGGGGCTGCCTGGGGCACAAGGGTGCTCCAGTGGGGGGCTAAACAGCAGGCAGCCCCCACACTGAAGCACCCTCGTGCACCAGCCAGCTGGGTCAACGGCTACATGTCCAGTGCTGCGTACTAAAAGACTCTGCCATAGGACAATACTTGTATTTACAGTTACTAACCTGAGGTGGACTTTATTAGTTTACTGTGACCTAGTAGGGCTGCAGCTCCACAGTAAATGTCTTGTGTAGATGCATGTCTACATAGTAGATGTCTCATGTAGACACTATTAGGCAGCTCCACAGCAAGCATCTCGTTTAGACGCGCCTCCTCCTGGAAACCTCTGCCACAACTGCCAAGAAGATTTATGCAATTTGAAGAGAAACCAGAGCATAATCAGTGTCAGTGTTCTTTGTAATGGGTCTTGTCCACTAGTGAATCGACTGGGACAACTGACTTCACACAGTCGATTCAAGTGGCAGTGACTTTCTCTACTGACTTTGGGATGGATTTGATCCACCAACTATCTTACTACCATTCCCTTGGGCCATCCAGATCTCCAGAAAGGGCTTGATTTTAAATGATCAGAAATTATTTGGTGGTTGAATTCTAAGAATCACAATTTTCAGGCTTGTTCTTTTCCCCCCTTTTTCTTTTCTTTTTACAGCTGCAAGGTGCAGGAGCTTTCAGTAGTTAAACAATTAACATTTCAAAGAATGTTATGCAGGAACAGAGGGAGTTCTCCTGAGAGATGAAGGCTACAAGATAATGATGACCCTGTTTACTATTTGAATTAGGGCTTTGAAGCTACCAGGTGCAGCAGTAACCATTCAACATTACCATTTCAAAGAGCAAGGTTAAAATAGAACAATTATTGGGGAAATTAGATGATCCTGAATATTCAGGCCTCAGTAGAATAACTGAAGACCTGAAGAATAGCTGAGTGGCATTGTTTTATTGTTTCCCCAAAGGGCTGTTTGGCGAAGCTCTTGGGCTAACAAAACTAGTATTAGAAAAGGCAATGGGATAGAATGATGTTTGGCCCATAGGAATGATTAGTGCAGAGAGAGAATTTTTAGCCATCGGAGAAGCAGACTGCTGAGTAGCGATGATCTAATGCAGGGGTCGGCAACATTTTTGGGCAGAATGCCAAGAACACCTGCAACTTCAACTGGTAAGATGTTGGTGTGCCAGGGGCGGATGGTGAGGGAGCCAAAAGGGGCCAAATCCTTGTTGTTGCTGTGTAGCCCATCCACCCAGAAGCAAGCGTGCCAAGCAAAATGCCTTCAAGTGCCACACTCTGGCACTCATGCCAGGAGTAGCCTATCATTGATCTAATGCAATGAAAGACTGGTTTGAAATCACCTGACCACATCTCTATGCCGAGGAGGGGAAAGTTAAATAAGAGAGCATAACTACTTTCCTCCTTTAGTCATGGTACCTATGGATTCCATTTAACTGGGTCAGGTATTCTGTACCAGGGTTTCATGCCTATTTTTGTTAATAATTCTTGGCATATTCATAGCACTCTGCAAACAGTGACTGGTTAATCCTCTTGTATCCTTCAAGAGTTAGGGAAGGGTTTTTTTGCATTCATCTGTAGAAATATGGAAAGAAGTGGCTTGCCCTAGGTTACAATGAGTTAAAGGAAGAAAATGGGATTAGAACCCCTGACCCCAAAATGTCCACAGAAAGGCCTTAAGGGGCTCTACATTTCATAGGATCTCTGAGGCTGTCATTGAGTGTTAGACATGCTCTGTTGGGTTGATCCCCTCAGGGGATTTGTCTCCCTTATACAGAACACACGTAGTTTCTGAATCATGATCAGGTTTAGACATGACTTAAACACTAAAGTCTTGTCAAGATTAGGGCAGATCTGGGCACGCACAGAAGTGCTAGTTGAGGTGCTTGGGGAACTCCATAGTTAAAAAGTAAAATGCCCAATGAGTTTCAGTATCTCCAGCTGAGAAGCAGTTTTCTGGATCACAGTCTCGAATTTAGGTTCTGAAATTCTACCTCTGCCCCTTTTGGTATCTACATTCTTTTTTTGGATCTAGCCTGTTGTTTTCTAAGAGCATTGTTCTAAAAATGCAATATGTAACTGTGGAATCAAGTATGGAGCAGTTCACAGGGATGAGCATTGCTGCTTTCGAACTTTCCCCAGCTGTACAGCAAGGAATCATTTTGTAACAATATTACATTGGATTAAAAGGTGAAATTTCTTTAACTGCCCCAGGTGTTTTTATTATTGGGGGCTGATAACTGCCCCAGGTGTTGTTATTTATTGGGGGCTGATACAGTTTGAAATCTACTGTGAGAGGTTTTGGTTTCCATTTCTGCTCACTTTGCAAAATAAGCAGCTGTGCTCACGTGTGCCTTTGTGGTTGATTTTTTCCCCCCAGTCTTCTTCACTCTATTTTCAGAAATGTTTGGCTTTTGAAAGGTTTCAGATTGATGGCTGGTTTTATCCATAGATCTGGTGGAGCACGAGCAGCAACAGTTGTCATCTCCCTATATCATTCTCCCACTGTATCTCAGACTCCACCTATTAAGACTCTTCCTAAGGGTGGCAACAAGAGAATTACCAGTTCAATCCTGGGTCTCTCCTTGGAGGTTAGCGTTAAGGTTGTAGTGAGTGTAGTGGTACTATTTGTTCTGTGAGTCGGTTAGGAATTTGATTGGGAACAACATCCATCTCCTTTAACACAGGCAGGAGAACAGTGATCGTTAGCTAGTGATCATGGTGTGGCACCAAATACTTAAAGGTGAAGGGGGGACATGGGTTTCATTTCATGACATCTTTTGACACTTGCTTTCATTCATGGAGTACTTGTGTGAAACTGAAATTCTTTTGAACTATCCATTCAGATCAAACTGGTCAAGTATTTTGATCCAGGCCCCTACCTCTTTCTCTCTCTGTAGTTAAAACTTACCAGCACTCAGAACTCTCTTCATTGAAAAGTACCTAGGATTCATCCAGTTCTCTCTTGGGCTGCAGGTTTAGTAAAGTCATTTGAACCATTCTTGTTTCTATTTAAGAGACAGTTCATGGCTTAGCAACTGAATTTCAAAAGAATTACCTGGGATGTAGCCACACAGCTCTCACTGCCTCATTTCTTCCAGGTGGTTCCAACACTACGGAATATGTGGGGCAAAGGATACCAGGTGATCATTTCATACGATGAGGTATCTGAATTAATGAAACACTTTGAACTGTGGCCTGCAGTTCCCTACTGGTGGGGAAATAAGTCTACAACCAAAGCTCTTATCCAGTACTTGGAACATATGAAAAAGATGGGACGTCCAGGTATAACTCACATTTTATTTAAGAAACAAGGAATTAGTAGAAATTCCAAACTGTTTTATTCCCAACGTAGGAAATGTAATCCCTATATTATGCCAATCAGTACAAACTTCTTCACTCATGGTATCTCCAAATATGTATTAGCTGTCTATTCCTCTTCTGTACAATTTATAACCACAAAAGTAAATTAAGTATCACCCATTTAAAATAAAATGGTTTCATTAGCTTGAAATCCGTGAAAGGAACTAAGACAGGGATAAAACCTTGTGACTGCTGCTAAAGATGAATTGACATAACTTCCTTTATAAACTGTTTTTCCTAGAACCAGGTCTCTGATCTCCAACTTCCCAACAGATGTTGGTTTCATTTTGTAAGTCTGGTCTTGTATGTGCAGACAGTGCTACCAGCTAACCACACACCTTCATAGATTTCATAGACATTAGGGCTGGAAGGGACCTTAGGAGATCATTGAGTCCAGCCCCTGCCCCAGGGGCAGGAAGTCAGCTGGGGTCAAAGGATCCCAGCAAGATAAACATCCAAATGTCATGGAGAGAGGGGAACTGAAATTGTGACGTATATATAATAAAACCATATGCCTCTTTTTCTCCATGCTGAAGGGGCTGCTCTTTGAGCTCAGAAGCTAAAATAAAACCTAGCATTTGAGTAGATCTAACGTTTTATCAAGCAGGATACAGAGAGATGCACACATGCATGCAAGCCAGTTATAACCAGCAACAGAAGCCTCTAGCTGGGACACTGCTAAAACAAATGGTTCTGGGGCCTAAATAGTTTATTAAGATACAAAAAAGGAAAACCTAGCGAAAACTTTGCAGTGTGGCCTTCTATTATGATGTGTCACAGGAGCAGCTACCACCTCTTCAGCGCTATGCTATGTTAGGATCTGGTCATGTCAAATTAAGAGGAAGCCAAACCATTGTCAAGGGAATGACGGGACAAGAGCACTTGTACCTGATCCTCTTTTTCCCTGCTGATTTCTGTACTCCCTCATCTTCATTCCCTTAGAATAAAATTTAAAAACTCAGATTTAAAAGGTTCAACTTGCCTCCCACAGCAGCAGTCTACTTTGTCCATATGTCTTTTTTCATGGAAATTGCCTCCATGTTAGAGGTAGTTAACCATTAAAGAACAATTAACTCAGATTATATGCCTCAACTCCCACACTCATTAGTATGGATTTCACCCGATGTGGAGCTCTGGAACAGTAGGGTTGTAGTGCTGTAGCTGTGATGATCTGCAAATAGCTGATACTTCTGCGATGGTCCATGTGTGAAAAGCTATGTTTGGTCATACTTTTTTATTGGGCTAGCTACATAGTTGGTAGAGATATTAGACAAGCTTTGGGCCCTTCTTCAGATCTGGGGAACTCTGCAATGATACAGCCTAGGAGAAACAATAGGCCATTTTCATAGATTCATAGATGTAGGGTTGGAAGCGACCTTGCGGATCTTCTAGTCCAACCCCCTGCCCTGGGCAGGAGAGAAAATTGGGCTCAAATGACCCCAGCTAGGTAAACATCAAGCCTCCTCTTAAAAGACCCCCAGGGTAGGAGCCAGCACCACTTCCCTTGGAAGTTGGTTCCAGATCCTAGCCGCCCTGACTGTGAAGTAGTTCCTTCTAATGTCTAGTCTAAACTTACTCTCTAGCAACTTATGGCTGTTATTCCTTGTTACTCCGGGAGGCGCTTGGGGGAACAAGGTCTCTCCCAAACCCTGCTGGTCCCCACTAGTGAGTTTATAGACAACTACCAGGTCCCCTCCTCAGCCTTCTCTTGCGAAGGCTGAACAGGTTAAGGTCCCGTAGCCTCTCCTCGTAGGGTCTGTCCCTGGATCATGCGAGTGGCCCTTTTTTGGACTCTCTCAATGCTGTCCACATCCCTCCTGAAGTGCGGCGCCCAGAACTGGATGCAGTACTCCAACTGCGGCCTGACCAGTGCCGCATAGAGGGGGAGGATCACCTCCTTAGCTCTGCTTGTGATGCATCTGTGGATGCACGACGAGGTACGGTTAGCCCTACTGACCGCGTTCTCGTATTGTCAGCCCATGTTCATCTTGGAGTCATTATTGACTCCAAGATCTCTTTCTCCCACCATGCTTTCGAGAAGGGAGTTCCCCAGCCTATAGGTATGCTGCTGGTTCCTACTGCCCAAGTGCAGCACCCTGCACTTGTCAGTATTGAATCCCATCCTATTTTCATTTGCCCACCCCTGTAACCTGTCCAGGTCCTGCTGTAACCTGTCCTTCCCTTCTAGCATGCCCACCTCACCCCAAATCTTGGTGTCGTCTGCAAATTTAAACAGGCTGCTCTTTACCCCATTGTCCAAGTCGCTAATAAAGAAACTGAACGGTGTGGGCCCAAGGACCGAGCCCTGGGGGACCCCACTTCCCTCCAGGTCGAAAATGACCCGTCCACCACCACTCTCTGCGTACGACCCCTCAGCCAATTTTGTACTATCAATAGTTATAAGTAACTCTTCGGTGAAGCCAATGTTTGCTAGCCTTTAGCCATTGAGGCAACTGTTATTATGGAGACATTGGCTGATTACCTGTAACCAGATTTCTTTCTGAATCTTCCTGAAAATGTCATATTGACGTAGTATCTAGCCAGGAATGAACACTCCCCTCTCAGGATAAGTAACCTAAGTGAATACATACAAAGATAGGGGCCTGAGCTAAGTTAAGTGGTTTCAGTAGCCCCATATCTGCCTAATATGACACACCTCCAACGGAAACTGCTCTGTTGAGATTACTGCAGCTATTGGCAAACTACAGAAATTTTCTGGAGTTAAGGTTTTCTGTTAATCATTTTAAACAACAAAACTAGTCATAACACTCATTCGATAGTGAGTAATAACAGACACCAATCTAATGGAGACTGTTTTTTTGTTTCAGGAAAATTCTTTGTTGCAGGGATAAACCTTACTGGAGATTTGCGGTACATTCTGTCGCATCCATTTTTATCTTTGAAGACAATGACTCTCCGAAGCCTTCCACGCCTGAATGTCTGGGTAAAGCAACAGTGTCCAGGAACAAAGAAGGACTGTACTAACATTATTGCTGCAGATTTCATAGGAGATGATGATTTTGTCAAAAATGTGATAAAACTCAACAAAAAACTTAACTCACCAGTGATAGAACTCAACAAAAAACTTAACAGTACATAGCCACGGTCCCAATATTGGCTCAAAGGATCTCTCGTTTTTCTCAACTTTTTAACCTTGAAAAGGCTGAGTAATCATTTTGTCTACACTTATGTCTTACCAGAAAGGCACAACTCAACATACACTTTTTCTTTTAAGGATTTTTAATATGGATTTAAATGTTTGCTCGGACATTTTTGCTTGCACGTATTTGCAACATCAACAGCCTTGTACTTGGCACTGGAAAGGGAAACCAAATAGTGTTTTCATCATTCAAATTGAATGAAATGTGAAAAAGTATTTATGAACATTGAATACACAATTAGATTTTAAAAATAAATTTGACAGGATAAGACATTGTTATCATACCTGTAGCTTCACTAAAACTGGTTAAGAATCTTGGTGTGATTTCTTCCAAAATCACATTGGAATTTGGTATCAGGAGAAGAAATGACAATGCTGGGTGCTGAACTGATCCTTCTAGCATCTTTCTTACAACCTGGTAAGGTGATTATTACATTATTCATCAACAGTGTCTGCTGGAACTGAAAGCAATATATAATGTTCCAGAGGCTAGATATTGCTCTCATTTTAGAGCTGTGCCAGTTCTGCAGGTGAATTCCAGGTATCACAACTAGACCCTTAGTAGAAACTTTACCCTTTTAACCTGAAGTGTCTTCTTTTGCTGATGGGGCATTGTACAAGTTTTCAGTAAAATACAAAGATTTTTCTTAGTAATGGCAACAGTTTTGGCACTTCAGTTGAATCACACACTGGGGACTAAATTCTCTTCTCATTTACATTGCTATATATCTCCAGTATCTTCATTGTGGAGCTTTTTTTTTTTTTGGTTTAGCCTGTGTAAACTGAAAACCGATTTATCCCCTTGTATTCATCCAACTAGTTCATTCATACTCTTTAATCTGAACCTACTTATTGAAAAGTATGGGTTATCTATGCCATTTACTTTTACACTTTTTTCCTGTGAATGTTAAGATGAATTATATTTTTATTGTAGTTTCTAGGATAAATTATCTGCAATACAAGTGACCATGAATGTGAAGGACAGATATCACTGGCTGGAGCCA